GGGGGAGCAGCAGCGTGCCTAGCTCGTGTTTCCCCCCAGGTTGTGTCTGTGGTCAGCTGCTTTGGGCTGTGGATCCCACGCTCCATGATGGTGGTGGAGATGGCTACCACGACGTGAGTACTGCCTGGCCCGGGGCAGGGCGCCGCGGGAGGCCACGGGGCCTGACCTTTCCTCCTCCTCCCCAGGTACTTCGCTATCTGCTTCTACCTCCTGATGCTGGTCATGGTGGAGGGTTTTGGGGGGAAGGAGGCGGTGCTCAGCACCCTGAAGGATGTGCCCATGGTGGTGAGCACCGGGCCCTGCTGCTGCTGCTGCCCCTGCCTGCCCCGCATCACCATGAGCAGGGGAGGGAGGGCCGGGGTATCCCCCTGCCCCTGGGGAGGGCTTTCACCCCCTGCTTCTGCGGTGGTGGAAGAGAAGCCCCCGGGTCGGGGTTTGGGATGTCAGGGTGCTACTGGTCCCTCTCGCTGTACCAGGAGAAAGCTTCAACTGCTGATGCTGGGCACTTTCCAGTACGCCTTCTGCAGGGTGGTCGCCGTCTTCCTGGGGCTGGTCCTGTCCACCGACGGGAACTACAACCCTGCTGACGTGAGTGCCGGGGTGCAGGGACGGGCAGGGTGACGTCCCGGACAGGGAGCCTCCACCAGCCCCTGCCCAGCAGCTTTGTCAGCCCAGACGCTTTTCCGTGCGTCCCCCCAGATCTCGGCAGAGAGTGTGGCACTCTGGATCAACACCCTGGTCGGCGCCTCCACCCTCTTCGGGCTGTGGGCCCTGGGAATCCTCTTCCGGCAGGCCCGGCTGCACCTAACAGAGCAGAATATCAAGGCCAAATTCTCCTGCTTCCAGGTGAGCCCCCATCCCACCCAGCACCCCCCCGGACAAGGGGCTCTTCCCACACGAACGGGATGAGGCGATGCAGGGGTGGACAGCAGGGCAGGAGCTGCAGGCGAGTGAGAGCCAGGTCCAGCTGCGGGAGAGCAGGGAGGGAGAAGGGCAGGAGCCCAGCAGCTACGCAGCTGCTTACGTTGGTGGTTGCAGGTCCTACTCGTCCTGACGGCACTGCAGCCTGCCATCTTCAGCATCCTGGCCAACAACGGGAGCATCGCCTGCTCGCCACCCTTCTCCTCCAAGGCCAGGTCGCAGCGTAAGTCGGGAGACGAGGGAACGGTCTCGCCTAACCCCGGCCGAGCCCCTCCACCGCACGGCGGTGCGTGGAGAACGGGCAGGGGGGCTGAAGACGGCTCCAAGTGACCCTTCTTCTCACCCAGAGATGAACATACAGCTGCTGATCCCACTAACCTTCATCTTGGCGGTGGTGACGCGGATGTACTACCGCAAGCAGGACGACAAGCCGGGCTACCAGCCCGTCAGCTTCGCACCCGCAGGCACTGGCGTCAAGGCGTGAGCAGGAGGGAGCCAAGGGGGTGCCGAGGGGCAGAGCGAGGCGAGGGGCTGGTCGGCCCCGCACAACCATCTCCTCCTCCGGCCCTGGGGAGCTGCCAGCAGCAGAGGAGGCAGACGGGGAAAGGGCACCTCAGCGTGAGGTGAAAGGGTCTGAAACCTGAAGGCTGCAAGACAAAGGGATCTGTGAAGCTGCCTCCAGCCCGGGGGGCTCTTCTGTGGCACTGAATAAAGATAAATTTGTACCCAAGTCTTGCGTCGGTGACTGGGCTCAGATTGTCTCCTGCCCAGGCTGGGTGGGAGGTGGCTCCACAGGGGGAAGAGGGAGCCCAGACCTGCACAGCCATGGCACAGGGCTGTCACAGGGTGTCCAGCACGCAGCCATGACACCGATCTCGGGGTGTTGCTGGCTGTGGTTCAATAGCCAAGGCAATGCCAGGGCAGTGGTGCTTTCATCGGAGATCTCTGGATGGGTCTGGCCCATCCCTGGTGCACATGTCCTCAGTAGTGGTTGCTCCGGAGAGAGCAGTGGGAGCATCCACACCCACCAGCCTGGGGCCAGGCAAAGGAAGGAGCCTTGAAGCACCTTCATAACACACTGAGGTAATGCTGCCTTAACCAGCCTTGCCCAGGGTCTGCTCCGGTAGCAGTGTCAGCTCTACACATACAACAGAGGCAGGGACAGACATCAGGAGCGATGCTGACTTGCAGAAACCTCTGGGTTCTGTTTTTCCCCGCACTGAAGCATCTTCTCCTTCAAACCACTGGCAGGATGGCAGGTGAGGAGACCACGATGGGAGCCAGCTGCTGCAGGACGGCAGGAGGCACCTGGCACACACTGAGTAAAATGACTTGGCATTTATTTGGCTAAACATAAAAGCCAAAACCCCAACTCCAGCACAAGCCAGTAAGACACAATGGTGTGCACATACAGAAAAACCAGCACAGCAAACACCGACTGGGAAGAGACAGCCTGAAGCTGATGCCAGACCATCAGTGCACAGACCAGAACCTGCTGCTGGGCACCACCAAAGCGTCCCCTGCTCTTTACACAGGGAGCCCTCATCAGAGAGACGCCCCGAGGGCAGGGGCAAGATGCAGGGTCTGTCTCACCAAAGTCACCACTGCTCCAGCACCTGCCTCCAGTGACAAGAACCAGACTCCACAATAAAGTCCTGACCCTCCATAAAATGCACAAATCATGTCAGTGCAGGCGTGTGCCAGGATTTCCTCCTCCTGCAGCCCTAACCAGCATGCTGTTGGGAGTGCCATGCTCTTCACATCTTGCTTCCACCAGCATCCTCAACACCCTTCAGCTTTGCTGTGCTGCTGATGTCAGAAAATCCTCTCCCAGGGGCTGGCTGCTGCTGCCAGCAGCCTCACACCCCAGATCCATACAAGAAACGAGCTACGGCTGTCTTGCTGGAGTCGACACCTCTGGATTTAGCAGCATCCAGCTCCACACGTTCTTCAATGCATGCCAGTGAAGTTTTATTTTCCCAGTGTATCCCTTATTTCATGCTTAACTCAAGCATGTCTCTTCTGGATGCTGCCTTTGAAGAGCGTGGGATGGGTGAGGGGTGTGCAGGACAGCCCTGAAGCAGCAGCACTGGGTATATCTACAGGCAACAAGTTGTTCCTGGAGAATTTGGCTCACATATCTTGCCCAAAGATCAAGCTCTGTCCTATTCCTGACAGGACAGGGCAGTACTGGCGATGAGGCTGGTCCAGCAATCCAGGAAGAAATAGAAAAACAAAGGGGAAAAAAAAAAAAAAAGACTAGTCTGGGATTCGAGTGTTTTAATTTCAGTGCAAGGAGGAAGCAGGGATTATTGGTTACAAGAAACAGCTCTGTTATTCCAAGCTACATGTAAAAACCATGACTGGCTTCTTACCAAGCACCCCAGGTTTTGCAGAAAGACCGAGAAATACGTTAAGGTCTCCGCAGAACAGACCACCATCCAAAACACTATTGGTAACCAAAATTACAGAACACTGTTGCATAACTGGTGTTTAAAACAGTAGTACAGCTCTAAAGCAGCCTGGCCTTCGTGAGCTGGCTCAGGAAAGCAACACAACTCCCATACTGAGGGAAGGGTGAGGAAGGGGAGGTGGAGAGGATGAGGGAAAAGAGGATGGGGGTGAAGTAAGTGCTCTACCACTCATCAGCCAGGGATTAACAACTGGCTTGTACCAAGTGACCATTATTTGCTCCTTACAGCTTAAAATCCATAGCAGCAGCCGCGCTCCCAGAGCCATGGTCGTCCCGGCTGAGAGGTCCAAGTTTCTCTTTCCCATCCCAGCCCTGGCCTCAACAGAGGTAGAGAGTCTCTGTCAAGGCGTTTGGGCAGCGTGGCAAAGGATCAGCACGATCAAGGCTGGAAAGAGGCGGCGGCCTGTTCCTACCACAGGGCTCTTGGAAGCATCGCACCACGCAGAACCTGCAGCAGCACTTCGCGATTTGCTTCCTTGCAGCCGGCTGCTCCTCGAGCCCCGCATCCCACTTGGAAGACCTCCCTGCAGTCCGGCTGACCAGGCTGCGAGCTGTCCTCCTCCGCTCCCAGCATCGCGGGAGGATACAGGCAACTCAGGCCATCAGCTCCACCCAGAGACAAGGGGTATCACAGGTAAACCTGAACAGCAAAGCAAGTGGGAGCTGCGCAGCTACGACAGCAAGTCGGGTGTCCCCGCGCTGGCTGCCGGGACGGGACGCACCGACGTGCCCCGCACACAGGCATGTTCGGGGAGGGAGGGAGGGCAGCTGCAGGCCACAAAGCTCAGTGCATATTACAGACCAACAGCAGGCACGACTCGGACCACGGTTTCAAACGAGCAGATTACACGTTTAAAAGCTGCAGCGCACGCGGACTCTCTTCCTGTCTTGCCTCAAGGGGCGGAGGGTGCAGGCACCGATTTGTGCATTTACTGCGCAAACCAGGTAAGCGTCACGCAGGACCGGGGCCCTTCACTGGGGTACAACGTGCCCTTCATCTGTCCAGCCGTGCAGGCAGACAGCGAACCAGCTGCGCGAATTCACGTTCTGTCCTTACGGCAGCGGCTTCACGGCACCAGCGTAAAGGACTGCTCCAGCCCTTAGAGCACAGCAACTGAAACACAGACAAACACGCACAGAGCACAGTGTTGAGGGGCTGTTTGGACAGGCAGTAAAACTTACTACACACCAGAGACCGGGACAAGGGACTACACACTCATTTCCTACCTGGGCTCGCACACACCCACGGAAACACACAGACAGCAAGTGCCCCGAAGCAAAGATTCATTCTCTTCTCTCCAACAGCAACAGAGGGCTGAATTTTAGCTCAGATTTAGCAGTCTTGTTAAGATTAGCTGGGAAAGGCCTTTCCCCTGCAGCCCCCCTACAATTTGGAGCCACAAACGCTGCACGTTTACGCGGCGTATGACTCTATGACGCCGTGACTTCTTCCAGGGTGCCGCTCCTGTGCGCTACACTGGCAGCCCCCTCCCCAGCACGTCCTCGCTGCGACGCACTGGAGAGCTCAGCTACGAGGCATGCGAGCACGACAGGGTCTAACGGATAGATTCCTATCGGCTCCAGCGCAGCAGAGACACCTCTATCTCCTAGAAGCCTCTTTACACCAACCGCTTCCCACGTGCTCTCGAGGTCACGCTGCCTGAGGAACGGAGGGGTCTTTCCTTTGGCAGCGGCATGGATACTGTCTGGAGGTGAGGGGAAATAAGACAGAGGAGCTGGAGGAAAGAAGGGAAAGATGGGTCTTCCCACTCTCCCTCTTGCCTGGAGGTTTAACAGGGGAAAAGAAACCAAAACAAACGCCACGCTTGAGTGCTATTCTTTGCGCTTTAAAAGAGTATTTTCTTAAAATAGAAAAACCATCTTCCCCCTGGAAACCACTAGAAGGTAAACAATAAAAGGGGGATCTGGGGAGGAGAAGGGAGAGGAGGTTTGAATGTGCTTCCAGGCAGCAGCCCTTGCTAAGAGCAACGGGTGCCTCCAAGGCCCTGTGCTCACCGTCAGCCCTGTTCCTATGGCGCTCTGGCTGATTTAGAGTTCCCCAGTGGGTCTGGACTTAGGATTCGGCGATTAGCGGTTCGCAGCAAATCCTGGCTGGTAGCTTAATCCTCTTCATCCTCGCTGATGTCGTAGGTAACTGCAGACTCGTTCCTGGAGCGGTTGGCCGGTGAGGAAGGAGGAGTCTTGGTTGAAAAGGGCCAGCGGAAGGAGGGAGACGGGGAGCGGTCATGCGTGGGGCTACTGCTGGGACTCTGCTTCGGGCTGATGGCCTGCAGCATCCGGCCCTTGCCCTCCTTCAGCATGTGTTTCTAACGATGGAAGCAGAAAGACAGTTAGCATGGCTCAAACAGCGATGGAAACAGACGCTACTTACAGATTGTGCAGCACTTGGAGGTGTGTCCCCTCAATGTTTCGAGCAATATCAGAGCAGTAAAAGCCCGAGCATCGCTCTAGCCTTTGGAAACTGCACGGAGAGTAATCATCACCCATTTTCAAGCACCTCTAACAAGAAGTGTCTGTGGTATTTACCCAGCAGCACAGGAGAGCCTGGCAAAAACAAGCAGCTTCTGACTCATCCCAGGCCAGGGACAAAGTGACCGCCAATCTCGTGGCTGCTTGGTGGCCTGCAGGACACAAGCTGGAGTTTACAGCTTGTGGGACACAGGAACTTTTCATGCTACAACCGTAACTGGCATGATGCAGCTGGCAAGGATGAGGGCTCCCTGTAAGGGGGCTGCTCAAGCCTGAGACAACTTCTCTGGAGACTGGCAGCACATCCAGCACTGCAACAAACTGTAAACCTTTCCTCTGCAGACTGTGGGCTCCAGAAGCCCTACAACTGCCGTGCTCTCCAAAATCCCCCTTCCCGTTTTCCCAGAGCGACTCCTTACCAACGCGCCTTCTGGGCCAAACATCTCCAGGAAATTGCCGATGAATTCCCGGGACTTCTCTTCCCACTTCTGAATGAGATCGATACTCTTCTCCTCCACCTT